TACTTTTATCATATAAGCTAGCTTTTCAGCTATAAGTCATAAGCTATAGCTATAAGCTCAAAAATTACATATAAGTTATAAGCTAGCTTATCAGCTAGTTTTACCAAACATACCCTAACTCAACATCCATGTTGTACATGGGTAATAGTACTAGGTTCTTTTAAATATAAAATTGCAGAGGAAGTCTGTTTTTTTAGAAACAAAACTACCATTTTAGGAGAAAAAAAATTGAAAATAAGCCTTCTTATGATGGAAAAAAAATGTATGTGGTTTTTTTGTTAATGATTTTTCTATTCACTAATTTAACAAAGAACTATTATTAAAAGAACAAAGTATTCAACAGAATAAAAATATGCATAGTCATCAAAAGCAATCCCACATTCATTCAAAAGAACCAAGTATTCAAAAATCAAAACTGTAAAGAGTTCCTAAAAACCAAAGGAACACACATTCATTCTCATTCATAACAGTCAATATCTGTTAAAAGAACTTGTGCAAATTTTCTTGCTTCCCAACAAGCTTAAAAAAGAACAAAGAATGTAAAAAAAAACATTAGGACCTCCTAAAAACAAAAATGAGACATTCATTCTAGATGAATGTGTCCCCCCAGAAGAAGTTAAAGTTCATCAACAAGATGCCTGCCTTGTTTTGTTTTCTCATGAGAAGTAATTGCTCATTGTGAAAACCGTTAGAGATTGAGCTGGCGGCAAGAGCGCAACCGAGCCTCGATCGTAACTCGAGTACTTCTTGTATATCCCCCTCAGCTTATGATCTCCCGCAGCCGCATGGAATGAAACGAGTAGCTTAGCACAATCCCTGAGGATGATGATTCACATAATATAAAACATAATTACCTCAAAATAAACTAACTTCCAAACCAAATATCAGAAACAGAATTAAACTGTTGTTTGGAATTAAACTCACATAAGCTGTTTTTCGGAAAAGCCCGTGTGCAGTTCAAGTGTCTCGTTCCAAAAGGGGGCCTTGTTCAGTGTACATCTGGCGGCATATACGGCCGAGGCAGCTATCATCGAGGGGCAGTACATAAGGGTCGTGTAATTCATCATCCCAAGCTCGGCTAGAAAATACACCATGTTTTCCACCTGCATTATTCATTCTCTTACTCTCATCAGCATACAACATTGGACATTGGTTGTTAAAGTAACTTTTCAGCTGAACACAAAGAGAACGAAAAAACTCACGTTGGAGTCGGTTAGAGAAGCCTTGATGAAACGCACGAGAAAAACGTATGGGGTCGGCACAGTTAAACTCCACTCTAACTTCCCCAATATTTGTTTCTCCATGACCAAGATTTGTTTGTCAGTGTAAGTCCTGTCTGAAATGCTCACCAACTCATTGACCTGCCAAGGGATTAACTAATTAATTAAAAATGAATCAAAGTTTGAATCTTTGTTTCTTCTTTTGATGGCATTTGGATGTTTAATATACCTCAGGGGCCCAAATTTCTTCATACTTGGAGGCAATTAGCAATGCACCCAACCCCACTAACTGAAGTTCCTTCCTAGAGGTGGTCTTAACGGCCAGGTATCGATCGAGGATGTTAACCGTGAGGTAAAAGGTCTCAGGCGAGAGCTCGAATTTGCTATGGACCTGAACCAACCAGTCTATCAGGATTGCCCGCATCTTCTCGTTTATCTCGGGCTGCGAGTCAATGTAGCTGTGAACCCAACCCTCACTCTGCACAACCAAAGCATGAAAAAAAGCTATATATACTTAGCAAGCAAATCTTACATTGTTTTAGTACATATAATAGATTTCAAGTTAATAATGAAGATGTTAGACCTCAGCTGATTTGTAGAACTTGTACATATCCTCGACATATTCGACAGCCGCCAGGTCATTGTTCACATCATCAGCATCAATATCCACTATTTTCTCCTTTAGCTTGTTACTCAGCCCACAAGCAGCCTGTTTAATTTATTTAATACAGCAATAAATAAAAAGGGTTAGGTATAAAAATCAAATTTCAGTTGAAGTTTACAGCCTGAAAGAATTATGTAGATTAATTTTTCACCTTGCTTCTTGCACTGAGAGTCGAAGTAAGAGTCGGAGCTTTCTTTTTCGACAATTTTCCTGTGGGGTTTTCCTTGTTGGGCTCGGTTACTTTCTCAGTATCAGGGCTAATTTCGATGATCTCCTCCGGCTTGGGCTTGACTGTGGCCTTCTTCCGAGCCGGTTTCCGAGCCACGGCTCCTTTCTCTGGCAATGCTCCTTTGGCATTCACATTCTGAACAGGAAAAAATATAACATTTTAAATACAAATGCACAAGAGAAGCCAAATAACAACAATATATAACAGAACTACAACGCCAAAAACAATTTCATAAACTTAAAATTAAAACCTTGTTCTCGGCTGCTACTGCTGCATTTTGTGCATTAGCCAGTAACTGAGCGCAAAAGCCCCTGAAGAAAAAACAATGATTGATCAAGATTCAATTTTTTTTCATTCAACCCATGCTAAAGTCGACACATAACTTGATTTTATGTTTTTAGTTACCTCGTAACAGGACGAGAAGCCTGGGGAAGGGGCTTGCCTTCGACCCCACGAACCGTAACAAGATTGCCTATGTCCCCAAGTGCACGACGATTCTTCTTCTCCACTACCATGTTTTTCTGCTTATTAGCCACCTCTCCTGTTAGCAGAACACAGTCACCAATATAAATACAAATCAGAGATATATTCATCAATCAAGAAGACGGTCCAAGATAAACGAACAACAACCTAAAATGACATAACCAGTTGTTATAGTTGAAGATTATTCTATTATGCTCAAGATAATTAGAAGAAAAAACAGAGAATCTCCGTGTTACTACTTTGATTAAAAACAAAGAACAAAACTAAAGAAATCCAGAAAACCCATTCGAGTAAGCCAGTAGAAAAAAACATAAATAAACAACCATAGAAGTCCCACATGATAAAGATTACAGAAAACCCAAGAAACCATACCAAAGACAAGAATCAGATAAAGAGACGAAGAAATTCAAGAATTAGACAACAGGGTCTGATTAAATGCATCGCAAAAGAAAGCTTTTTGAATCAAACACTGAACATAAAGAGTAAAAGATCATCAAAATAAAACCCAAAATCCATCAAACAGCACAAAGACCCATCAACCCATTTCCCGATCACCAACAAAATCAACGCATATCACGAGAATCAAAACTTAAAATCGGCATAAAAAAGCGCACAAAGAGGACGAAAGAGAAAGAGCCACAACAAGTACAGTACCTCCTCCGTTGTGCTGTTGAACTGCCGCATGTCTCGACGCCATTGATGAAAAACCTTGCGAGATAGCGAAAACCCTCTTTCCTTTTCTATCTTAATTTTCTCCGATGATAGCAATTCTCTCTCTCTCTCTCTCTCTCTCTCTCTCTCTCTCTGTGAGGGTTCTGATGGAAAATGCGCACAGGCAATTTGGGGGAAAAACAAAGCGGAAAGACGCCTTTTGTAAGCTGATGAGAGGGGGCGCTTGCGTCCCCAACGGTCGAATTTGAATTTATTTTCAGCCGTTGGATGGGTTTTAGATCGGACGGTGTAGATTGCTTCAGAGGAGCCTCGCGTTTTCTGATTTTAGCCGTTGAGATTCTGATCTGAGAGTGGTGAATAGTTACCGTTTGTTTTTACAACTTTGGGAGTTGGGTTAATTTATGTGTATTAAATATTTAAATTAGTTTAAGTGTTTATTTAATCCCCCTATATATTAATCCAGAACGCGATAAGGCCAAAGTGGCTGCTTCTGGTGCTTCGCAATCTTATGTGGCAAAATTACATACTTCGTTATTAGGCTTGGGTAAATTTTAATTTAATTCCAAACCAAAAATAATTAGGTTCGGATTACCATAAATATGTTGATTATTTATGGTCATGCTACATGTATTAATTGCATTTTAATATCATTCATTATTATAAATATTGAATTGTATATGTATTTTAAAAGTTAATAACTTTTGTATTTTTTATCAGTTTTACATGTGTAATATATCAAATTAATCTTCTTTTGATGAGTTTCGATTTAACATCCATATTGTATGTATAAAAAAATAAATTTATATTTATCTTTATAACAATAATAAAATTATTTTTAATATTAACTAGAAAAATAGAATTATTTATAAACTAATATATTTATATTTCAAGTAGTTATATGATATAAGTTATAAAAACTAATATAATATAACACATGTAAGTCATAAGTAACACATATCATTCTAAAATATATAGTAATATATTTTTTTTTTGTAAAAAAGTAAACTAAATTTAATATAATTTTTTCGTTAATTTTAAAATTTAAGAATAATTTTTTAACAAGCACCTGTGTAATACACGGGTGTTGTACTAGTTATTTATGTAAACTATGATAGTGTTCGCTTTTCAAGTTGAAATCAAATTAAATTAAAATAAAAAAATAAGGGAAAAAAATTAATACGTTTTGTTGTTGTTGGATAGCTAACCAATTGAATCAAAATCAAAATGATTTTTCAGTTTTAATCTCCACAAAATAAAATATTTTGATTGGATCATATTTTGTGACTTATGTCAATTAATCTTTCTTCTAAATTACAAGAAAGATTAGTTTTTATATGTTCAACATGTAAAAATTACCAATATAATTGCAAATAAACAAAATAAAAAAAAAAATCAAATGATTAGCAACACAAATAGGATGTGTGTTACAAGTTACAACTGAAGATTTAGGCAAACCAACAAAAAACCATGCCTAGAGCTGCAGATGCAACTACAAATTAATAAAGAAGGCCAAAGATTGAGATTACAAACCCAAATCAAAATCATCTCCACACACACACACACACACACACACAAACCAAATCAGAAAAGCTCACTTGAAA